ATAGGAACTTTGCCTATTTTATATATGTTCATTGAACTTAGAGGAAGCTTTTAGTCGAATATAGCAGTTCCTCAATACCCATATGATGGTACTCCAACCTAAGACTGGTAATCTATCGTGTTGGGTCCCTTCAGTTTCTTAGTCTCAAAAATTCAATCATGTTAGAATTAGTTCGATCCACATATGACTCATTTGTTATACGGATCAAGCGGCTCAACCAGATTATGACCTAAATTTGTTAAGCCAAAATCTATACCTTAAAAAGTCTAATCAATTTCATGTGGATCGTGTTTATTAGAATTGCCAAACCCTACTCTCAGGTTTTTTTTCTTGTCTGTGCTTTTTGCATATAGAACCCCCCACCCCACCCCACCCCACCCTCACCCTCACTCCCTACCCTTAATATCCCACCCACCTCAGAATTGTTCCTACCATACGTTTGCTTCCATGTGGCTTCCTAGATAATAATCATCAAAATGGGCCACGTAGGGAGGCTGTATCAAAGAGTCCTGACAAGCAAAGAAGTTTAATTAGAACTGTTCTCGTTAAAGTATGGCCACTTAGGTTTATCATCAATGACCCTCTTTCTTGACAATCCATGTGCATATCAAACTATGTTTTCTTGAAGTTGTTGGCTAAGCATACCTTTGGACATTAAAAAAAAAAAAAAAAAAAAGAAGCTTAATTAACACAAATATAAAATCATGTATTCTGGTTTGAGTTTTTTTTTTTTGGTGTATAGCGGTTGGTAGTTTTTTCAGGTAAAGTCGGTTGGGTTTTTGAATTTTTTAGTTGCTATTGGGAGATTAAAATATGCTTCCACTGCCGATAAAAGCATAGTATATCCATGCCATCAAGTTAATTGAAACATCAGAAAAATGTAAGAGTCTTAATGGAATCTCTTTATAATAATACATCTCCATTAACCGATGTAAACAAGGAAATCCTGGCTCGGTGATGGTGTTGTCATCGCTGATGTGCAAGTTGCTGAAGTTTATTTCCAATGTCTTTAAAAATTAGGAGTTCTAATTTTAACTCAAAAATTTCTGATTTTTAACACCGGTGCATTTGACGTTTTTTGTGTCAAGGGTGGGTGGACACGTGGATTTCTTTATCTTCCATGTCCTTGCTCGTTCTTTGCTTGCTTGCTTGCCATCATTCATATGGTCACAATATCCATTCATTACGAAGGTTCTCTAACTTAGTAAGGATAGATGGTGGAGATTATAAGGTCCCTTTCAAACTCAGTCATACAAGATGTAGTCACGGTTCTTACGATGTATGTACACTAGGGTCAAAATGACTATCTATTAGAATTGTGGCTTAATAGAGTAAACTTTCGCTGCCGCTTAACCCTATTTATAATGTATAAGACGCTTACACACAACACTACTAGTGAAAAAAAAAAAAAAAAAAACCTATTGTATCTATCTTTTTGGCAAGGGAGAGAGCATGTGCAGTCAAAGATCTACAGCCAACAACTTTGACAAACCACTACAATAAAATCTATTGCATTTGCGACATTTTCATGTGGAGTTCAATTAATCTATAAGTTTCCATCTTGATGGATGGTACATTTTGTTGCCTACCAACAAATGAACCTTCTAATCAGATTAAAAATCAACAGTTCTGCACAATATTTTTAGTGTCGATTCGATTGTCTTGATTTTGTCGTGTTTGAGCCCGCGTTTAAGCTCTAATCCATAAAAATAGCCAACCCACCATTTTGCTCATTTTGTAAATTCATATATATACAGTTTGAGATTTCAAACGAGCAAACGCGAAAGTGTGAACCAAATTGACATCGCTAAACAATCAAAAGAAAAAACTGAAAAAAGGAACTAATTAATATAAAGCTCAAACCTATGAAATAGAAATCTGACCAACCATGTCCGAAGCACACAAGTAGATAGCACAATAATGTTGAATTTTATTTTTATTATAAAATCTCATGAAACTAAATTGAAATTTGACAATAATTTGGTGAAATTTTTTATTATTTGAGGTAATTTTATAGAAATTCAATTTATTCAGATCGGATTATTGAATCGAATTTAGACTCGATTTTTTCAAACGAATTCGGATCGACTAAGATTCAGTTCAAATTTGGTATGTTGACAGATCTAATCAAGAGTGTATTGAGAAATAACATAATGATTAGCATGAATGCCTGATTTGTATATATTCAAATTTTGCAAAAATTGTTGATATATTCCTTAGATATATTAGCTCATGCCACCAGCATTTTTGGTAACTCAAATGACGCAACCTTATGTGCCTAGAGCTCGAAAGAACATTTTGTTAAGCCCGTTCGGGTAAATTGGATGGAAAGACCTTCGTAATGTCTTTGTTACGTGTGGTTTATGATTCAAAACACTAGATAGTTCGATTCAAACTTATTGTTGACAAAGAAAAACAAAATTTTATGCCGCCTCTTGGATCAATGGGCCAAAGACCTCCCATCTACGAAGTCTTATGCTCTGTTCGGTGAGGATACACTTTCTATCATTCGAGAATGGAAAGTAAGAATGATACACTGTTCTTTCTTTGTGTTTAGTTGAATGGATGAAAAATAAAAAATATTATTATTATTTTTTTGTGAAGGCTAAAATTAGAGTTGACAATCGAGTCGTGCCGTGTTAGATTCGTGTTAAGTCATAAAAATATTATGAGTCTTTTATATTTTTTATTCTCTTGTCAGGTCATTTTTAAATTTGTGTCGAGTTATAATCAAATTCGTGTCATCAAATTTGTGCCGAGTTTGGGTCGTTTCATTGTGTTGAGTCAAAAATTTTCATACCGGATTAAGATGAAACAAATATTTTTTTTAATTTAAAATTTTTATTTTTAATTTTTAATTATATATATATATATATATAATGTATACATAATATATATAGACAAATAAGATATATTTCAACACAAATAATTAACTTGCAATCCATTTTTCTTCCGATTTTGGAGAGATTGATTTTGGTGAGTTGGAAGGAAAGTTAATCCACCACTTTTTTTCCTTACCCAACATAATACTTTATATATCTCTCAAACTTTATATTTTTCCATTTTTTTTATCATACCGAATGAAGTATTACGGTGGTCCACTTGTAGGCGCAGGACCGCTTTGAGCTTAAGGAAAACCAATAGCCATAACATCTATAGTCAAAATATTGTCAAGTTACAAAGGTTTTTTTTTTTTTTTTTTTTTTTTTTAATGTGGAAATTTAACATCCACAGTTTGAAGGATTCATTCTAGAAAAAAGAAAATGGGTTGAAGATATAGAAAATACAACGAGTTATTCATCTTTTTATTAACCCTCTTAAGAGATTATTGTACATATATTTTTGAAACACGGTGAGGTACCTCTACAATTTCACGAGAGCAAAATACAATGCATCAAATTTTCAATTATGTTGTGAAAAATCGATATTATACTGTGCAAAATAACATAATAGGCCATTTTCATTTTTTTTTTGTTATAGTAATTCAAAACCTATGTTTTCTAACTTCAACATCAAATATCATTGCTATTAACCAAAAAAAAAAAATCATCGTTTCACTTTTCAATTGGTTAAATCATGTGTTATGGGTATGCCTGTCGATGGAACGAATTTTAATTCGAATATGAGGTTCATTTAATCAAATACAAATTAATATTTAAACATATTTGAATTTAAATACATGTAAATCTGATTCGATAAAAATTCGATTTGGTATATAAATACACATACACACTTTAATAAGGTAAAGTTTTCACAAGATAAAGATCAAAAATCCGTTGGTATATACATACATACCTAATTAGATTATTAATGAGATTGATATGAAATTAAACAAAAATTATTGGATAGATTCAACGTAAAGTCCGTTGACAGCAACTTTGTGTTAGGTCCAATGAGTGAGCTTAAAGGGTCTATATACATTGGGGACAAGCGTGTTGGATTTTTTGATGCGACCTAGGTTTAGGTTAAGGGGCACAAATTGAGAGCCACGTGTTTAAGAACCGCGGGGTTTCTACGTATAGAGTGGACCAATAACCTACCACCAACTCCCCCCCTACAAAATCCGATACTTAAAAGTTTGTACTACATTTCTCTCATGTTATTGGCTCCGACAAAACTTAAACTACCTTAGCCTTACCTTTTCACCATAAATCAACTTGCCTTTCACACTACTCAATTTAGGTTATAGTCTTTCTCTGCCAAAGGGATTAGTATATATCTTTCTCCTTGAGTTGTGTATACTCAACATATTATATATTTGTCACATAGGCATATTTTTTTTTCTTTTTTTTTTTTGGGAGGGGGAGGAAAAAAGGGATGGAGGAGGAGGACTTGACCTCTTGATCTCAATAAAACAAAAATTTTACAAGATAAAGAGTACCATTAGACCAAAAATCTATTGGTACATAGGCATATTATGGGCTATGAACCATGGGTGCATTGTTCATCATATATATCAATCTACATAGGTTACACCCCGGAGAGATACAAGAATAATTATTAGGTGTAATTGTTATAAGTTAACAATGTTATGCGGTGTAACAGTCAATTGATAAGTAAACAAATTAATAAATAGGCATTACTAAAATTTGTAACCACCGAATTATCTAATTTGTAATTACTTCCTAGACAGTATTGGATGGTTAACGATTATACCGATATTTGAGAGGGGGTGGTCGTGTCAACGTTTCGACAAGCTATGTCCCTCCTCTTAGTCCATTAGTCGCATTCCATACATCAAACACGTGGACTTCTCCTACATGTTCGAAGTGGAACTCCATTCTCACTTGCCCCTTTATATACACCCTCCCTCTCACTCCCTCTCTCCGCAAAACTCACTCTCCTATCTGATTCCCCACTCTCGTTCCTCTCCCCTTACTCTTCCAATTTCCAAAACACACTAATAGCAAAACAGCACGAACTCCAACAATCTCTCGCACCTTAAGGGCACACACTACACACAAGAACCTATCCTAGTACCAACAACTAAATAGACAGCCATGGCTGCTTCAACTACTATTGTTACTACTACACTTTCAAGTTCATGGGTTAAGCCCAAAATCTACACTTCATCATCAAAATACTTGGGCTCTTCTTCAAATTCTCTCTCTTTCAACAAACCCAATAGACAACACTCCATTGATTTCTCTCTCCAAACTCCTTCAATCCCCCATTGCCCAAAGCAATCTTCAAAAACTTATCAAACATCTAGTCCAGTTATCGCCACCACCATTCCCACATACCCAAATCAAACCTCTTCTTCATCTTCATCTTCGTCAATCCAACAATGGAATTATATTCAGAAAGCGGCAGCAATGGCCCTAGACGCAGTGGAGAGCGCATTAACGGAGCGCGAGCTTGAGCACCCCTTGCCAAAAACAGCTGACCCTCGAGTCCAAATCGCCGGAAACTTCGCTCCAGTACCAGAACAACCAGTCCGGCAGTCACTTCCGGTCAACGGAACAATACCCGAATGCGTACAAGGCGTCTATGTCCGGAACGGCGCCAACCCTTTATGTGAACCAGTCGCCGGCCACCACTTCTTTGATGGCGACGGCATGGTCCACGCCGTCCAATTCAAGAACGGTTCAGCCAGCTACGCTTGTCGATTCACCGAGACCCAAAGACTCGTCCAAGAACGAGTGTTAGGCCGTCCTGTGTTCCCCAAAGCCATCGGTGAACTCCATGGCCACTCCGGAATAGCTAGACTTCTACTCTTCTATGCTCGTGGACTGTTCGGCCTTGTTGATCACAGTCACGGCACCGGAGTGGCCAACGCCGGCTTGGTTTACTTCAACAACCGCTTGCTCGCCATGTCTGAAGACGACTTGCCATACCATGTTCGAGTCACTCCCTCCGGCGACCTTCGAACTGTGGAAAGGTACAACTTTGATGGTCATCTCAAGTCCACCATGATAGCTCACCCGAAGCTCGACCCAGTTTCCAGCGAACTCTTTGCTCTGAGCTACGACGTAATCCAGAAACCTTACCTCAAATACTTCAAATTTTCTGAAAACGGAAACAAATCACCAGACATTGAATTCCCAGTTTCTGAGCCAACTATGATTCATGACTTTGCGATCACTGAGAATTTTGTGGTTGTTCCTGATCAGCAAGTTGTGTTCAAGATTTCCGAAATGGTCCGCGGTGGCTCTCCGGTGGTGTATGACAAGAACAAGGTGGCTAGATTTGGTGTTCTTGACAAAAATGCTAAAGACTCTTCTGGGATCAAATGGGTTGATTGTCCTGATTGCTTTTGTTTTCATCTTTGGAATGCTTGGGAAGAGCCTGAAACTAATGAGATTGTTGTGATTGGGTCATGTATGACTCCACCGGACTCCATTTTCAATGAATGTGAAGAAGGTTTACAGAGTATTTTATCAGAAATTCGACTCAATTTGAACACCGGAAAGTCCACTCGCCGGCCAATTATCACAAATCCGGCCGATCAAGTGAACTTGGAAGCAGGGATGGTGAATAGAAACAAGCTCGGAAGACAAACCAAGTATGCATATCTTGCCATAGCTGAGCCATGGCCTAAAGTCTCTGGTTTTGCTAAAGTAGACCTTTCAGATGGTGAAGTGAAAAAGTATATCTATGGAGATGAAAAATATGGGGGTGAGCCTCTGTTTCTTCCAAGAGACCACCCCAATTGTGAAGAAGATGATGGGTATATTCTCGCGTTCGTCCACGACGAAAAGGCATGGAAATCCGAGTTACAGATCGTTAATGCCATGAATTTGAAGCTAGAGGCATCGATTGAGCTTCCAAGTAGAGTACCATATGGGTTTCATGGCACATTTATAAGTGCAAAAGATTTGGAAAATCAGGCCTAATTGGGATTAAATTGCTTGAAGATTTGTGGGTATGATTATAATGTTGTGAGATTGGGTTTTTTCAGGTTAATTTCTGAGGAGATTTACCAGAGGGATGGCTGGAGATATGTCCCCGGAATCTCCTAGCTGGTTATAGTGATACCCTGTTTTATGGGTTTTATAATTTTTTTTTTTTTTGGTAATTTTATGTGGAGGTTTTGGGAGACCAGCTTGTAGCTTTTGGTTGCAGGTAGAATTGAAGCTCAGCTGGATTCTGCTTCTTCCTCATATTGTGTGCATGGAGACAGTGTAGCTACAAGAGAATAATTTAAACTCTGCCTCTCTATACTCTGTTCCTTATAAATAAATGGCATTTACCATTTCCATCAGTTTTCCTTTTAGAACCTATTTATTTTTTATTCTCATTTATATTTTTGTATTAGTACTTTTAGAGGTCTAATGTAAAAACAATTATTAGGGTCTGCTCGGATGTTTATGTTTTAAGGTGTTTGAATTAGATTTATGAAACCTTCTCAAATTTAGTCCAAAGGATTTGTACATGGAATTTTTTTTTAAAAAAAAATATAGAAACAATTGTTATACAATTTCATGTTTGGTAGGTGACATAAATACATGTGGAGTCATGGATTCATGTCAAATAATATTTACTCAATCTATTAAAATGTCCATTGTTAGGTAAATAGAAGAATAAATTTTTGAATAAAATAGTATTTTCATCTGCAAATCCAACCTCTCTCTTTTGAAATCCACTCTCCATGGATTCCATCAAATTTTCATTTGTGGGATTTAATCAACTATTCACTACTGGCAAGAATTCTTTAAATTTTGAATCAAGCACATGTTTAGAAGGTGTATTAGACTATTTTCACAAAATTCACCCTTTAAATCACATCAAAAACCAACATACCAAACATGCCTTTAAAATTATTAGTTCTTCCAAAAGATGCGGGTTTAAGTTTAAAAATCAATATATTCGACGCGAATATTCCTCTATCTATCATTCTTTAAAAAAAAAAAAAAAAAGAGTCTTGTGCAATTGATATACTTTTTTAATGCTAGTATTGCTTCTCATCAGCATTTTACTTTTTGATGTCACATCCCAAAAAAAAACAAATGCATGATTAAATCTATCGTAAACTCATCTCAGAGAAGTTGAAAATGAGCCGGCTAGAGTTAGTTAAGAAGTGAAAAGAGTTCAGTTTTCAATATAAGCCATGATCCTTTGACGTTGAACAAAAATCATTACTTTATATTCGACTAGCACTAAAAACACTACTTTAAATATTAGTGATAGAATTATTCTAAGTATTTTTTTAATTGGAATTTTTTTGCAAAACTTTTTACCTCAAGAAATCATCTTCAAGCAGGCCTATTGTACATGTGTGTTTCCATTAAGTAAAATTGTGATGCTATAAATTATTTTTACTGTACTATATATATATATATATATATATATATATATATATA